GTTAAAGTCTCTGTAAGTCTTCAAGGTATGCTGTATTTATTGTGTTAGGACTTAACTGCTTGGGACAGCAATTTGTCTGAACACCTATGCCCATGTGATTTCCACAATTGCGTTTGTATCCAAGGGTGTTGCTCGTTATGCTGTTATATCCCTGCATTTGAAGTATTTATGACTGACAATTTTCATATGCAGTTGAAACCCACAGGTAGAACAAAAATTTGTATTTGGACATGTAGTACTGTTAAATGCACTACACTCCTCAAATGCAACTTGTGTTTTTTGAGCCAAATGCCATAAGTACACATTTTCAAACACAACTTTTCCCTCCAAAATATATACCATGTTTGCCATTAAGAGACTGAGTAAGATTTTGAGTAAGAGTAAGACATTTTCATCCCAGTGACAACATTGTAGGATTGGACATTTATGAGCCCAATCAAACAGTACTTAAATTTCTATCATATTAAAACCATGCACTGTAATGTTAATGTCTGCTAGACTGACACAGCCTTCATTATCTCCAAGAATCAAGTGGTCTCTCTGTAGGAATTTTATATAATGGACTCCATTTGGAAGGCAATTTTGTTTTGTTTTACTCAGACAAGAAACTGGCCCCTTACTGCAATTCAAAAGAAACAGAAATGGAGAAACTGAACAAGCAAAAGAGCGCTTAACTAGCAATGGACTGAAACAATCCTTTGCCAAAAGTGAAACTTCTGAAGGACTGAGGGAGACAGATGCATAGCATTTACTCTTCACTCAACCGCCATTTACCAAGCCTTTTCAAGCCTAAGAAACCTGATCCACGCTCTCCACAATCCCAAACTCAGAATTGCACTGAAGTCCTCCGGGGGGAAGGAACTGCTATACTTTTCAAATGGAAGGTGCCCTAAAATCCCTCGCAGGTGCTTTCAATTCAATGAATTATTTTCTATTTTTCCTTCCTGTCTTTCAGGCTGGGGTGTATTGAACGTTTACAAAGTCTGAGCTTTTAGATTAATAATACTTCACTTCCTAAGGGATTTTTTTTACCGTGCTTGAAATTAGGTGCCTAATCAAATACTTTTTGTTATTTGTAAGGTGGCCACAGTTTTGGTAGGGCAGTCAGTCACCTTCAAAGGTCACACACACTCCTGCCAAGGGATGCTTGGATGCACATGTACTGAGACAGGGGTACCAACCAACAGCCTTGTAAGCATTCCAAACTGTGTCATGCAAACAGCAGCAAACCCATGGGAAACTACCTTGTCCCACACAATGAAGACCGCTGGGATTCTCTGACAGATTTTCACTGAATCAATGGATACCCTTTCCCCTCCAGTTGACAGAAAGGAAACGCTGTAAGTGGGCAGTCCTGCTATGTGACAGGGCTGGCATTTTCCTTGTATCTCAGCAAGTCCACATTTTGCAGAGGACTTTTTTGAACAGAGGTGGATCAATGGACTGGACAGAAGCTATTGCATATGCGTAAGCAACCAGCAAAAAGCCATATTGCACTGAGTTGGAGGGTTTACCAAAGGCCTTCAAAACTTCATGTCTGAAGGCAGTCTATGGAAGTCTTGTAATCTCTTTCCCTACATCTCTACCCCCAACAACAATGATCTCTATTGCAAGTCAAAATTTCTTTCAACCAATCTTTGCCAGTGTCAACAATTTGGTCAACAATTTCTTCCCAGACCATTGTCCCCAACCCAAATGTTTCTTTCAAACACGGTGTAATAATAATCCACAGAGGTAATTCTAGGCAGACAATGTGCCCCTTCAAAAATCTGTGTGCCTTTTTCCACTTACCAATTTCCACTTTTTCCTCAAAGATATGAAGTCAATTTTTGCCACTGAATTACTGTATTGCTGTTCCTGGTTTCCCATTGATAGGGCAGGATTATTCATGGTCTGTCAACAGTACCCTCCTCGGAGTTCCATTGTAGACCTCTCGAGACAATTTTTCTGTCCTCCAGGCACAAAGTTGACTGATCCCTCCCACACCAAGGGAACAATATCACCAACAAATCAGCAGCATTTCTCTTTGTCACCTGAATGTGTCCTGCTGGGTTTAGGTCCCCTTACTGCCAATACATCATTGTCACATTGGCTCAAGACAGACTGTTCACCGAATGCCCACCAAACTTTTTTCCAATACATGTTTCCGCATCTCTGTAAGATAAAGCACTGCGGTGTTACATCGACACAGCCCTAAGCACTGAACATATTTCGGCACATGAGGTATGGATAAAGTCACGTTCTGGTGGTTTGATGACTGAGCAGCCAAGGGCAAGAAGCATTCACGGTTAATCCACAGAATAGCTGTCCCGCTATCGTTCCTGCCTTCTGTTTGCCGCTTTCTCTGAAAGAAACTGATGGCTAATCCCTGAATTTTGGCATCAGATTACACACACTGGGGATCCCTAGGTGCTGCAAGCAGTGGGTTTGTTGACTTTGCTGTCTAGGCAAAGAAAATGGCCCGCAAAGGAGGGTGATACAATGATATCGGCAACATGCAGTTATCATACATTCACAATGTAACTCAACCAAGAATCCACTCAATACAAATCACTTTTGACTGCACAAGAGGCAAAGGCATAATTTCATTACAAGTCATGTCTCTGCAAAACGTAAGGGTGGTACTAATGTAAAATCTCTTCACATTCAGTTCATCTGAATGGAACTTCAACTTATCAATTTCAATGTAAATAGCAAAGTGGGATCTGAAATGTTATATGCATATTGTGCAGGAATATGACAAGACGTGTGTACGAAGGCAGCTTATCAGAAAGCCCTCATCTGCCAAATTCAGCACACACAGTACATGAATACATGTACATGACCATGACATATACATGTACACATGCCAGACACAGATGCCAGATCCGTGCATGCTAGAACTACATGTACATGTCACCAAGTAATCTGAATGGAGTTGATGCGTGCTCCTCCCACGCATGTGACAGTGGCAAAATTACTGTCGGTATATCAAATCTAGAATGGAAATGAGACAGCTCCCCATTGAGTCATGAAAGACAGAATTTCACAGAATAAAAACATAGGTACCTTGATGTAGACTGACAGGCACATATACTCTGTAGGTATGTATTTCACGTCACTAATGACAGAGTTTCATTGTCAAGTAGAAAGGAAGGTTTTTTAAAAAATCCTTTGGAAACTTCCGCCTTTTCCTGTCAAAGATGATCATTTCTGATGTGTAAGCCAGAGAAAGAAGAGATTAAACACACAAGCCTGGGCACCTTTTTATATATACTTGCATGAAATCTGACCTTTACTTAGGCGAGTTTGATCAGGGGCCCTGCGAGTGCTGAGCAAACACACAACATTCTGCTCTGTTTCATGGAAAATTATTGACTCAGGGCTTATGATGAACGCTCAGGGCTGCCTACATGTACATGTACACTGTTCCACCCCATGAAAGTATCACCAAGACAGTAATAAATTAATGTGTGTGGCAACTATGCAGACAGTTATGTGCAATGTGGGTTTATAAATGGATTTTGTAAGGTTTAACATTTCCAGGATAACCGTTGATTGGGATGATCTTGGCATGCTACAGGAATTCAATTAATTAAATACCCTGTTGCCTTTTTATCATTAGTTCAGGGTTTTTTCCCAAATCATTTGTCAACCAATTTTCTCAGTGAGACAGTTCACCACGATTTCATCACCTATTTACATATTTCATGGTACTGCGTGGATGTAGTATTTAAATGCAGAGAAAAACCTAACTGCAAAGATTTACTGATTTACTAGCGATGACAACAAAAATTGTGTCAACAAATGATCTAATCTGAATCATGTCCTGCCAGTGGGTGTGGATTTTTTTATTTGAATTGCAGGAACACAGATAGTTGTAATGTACTGCGTGCTAGAGATGTGGTGTCTTATCAACTCATACATGTGTACAAATCCACTTCAACTTCTGACTACGGAAGGGGGTGTCTTGTCCCTGCAGGAGATAAACTTTCGATACAACATCTAGAATATTCCAATTTATATTTCATCCCTTCATGTCCACTACAACTATGCCTCCGGTTCGAAATATTGTTTTTGAAGCCCACTGTATGAAGTCTACAGAACTGCATGTGTTCACAGTGTCATTCTAGATCTCACAACAGTACATGTGTACATACACAGTACGTACTGACTTCAACTTCTCAGTTCGGCAAGTGCACTTTTGCTCTGTCCCATGGTTTGTTCACTTGATAGACATTCTTAGTTTACAAAGGTAATTCGACCATGCCCGATCAAAACAAACAAATGAAATTTGACGAGGCTCAAAGGACAGTTACCATTACAGCATTACTATCAGCAGGGTGACGCCTTTCTTTGACATATGTTGCTTGACCATGCACAACTCAGTCAACTGTGCCTTGGATGTGGCTCATGTTATGCAGCTTAGCTACATACGATTATTTGTCTAAGCTGGGCCTAACCATACGTAATATTTCTGTTTCTGCAAAAAACAAGTCAGGTGGGACTGTGGAGTGATATGTGTGTGATGTTAATATTTGGCCTGTTGATATCCAGCTGACAAGGCTGTGCTACGTTTTTGAAGTCTGTAGAACACCAGCACTGTGGAAATATGAATGCTATATATGATTTGACAAACACTCTCCGCTACCAACAGAAAATGCAAATATTCAGTTTGTGAGTTCACAAAATTGGGCATGTCATTCAGTTGCTGGCAAATCTTCTTGATAAATGCAGCAAATTGAATTCTCAGAGTGTTGAATACAGAGAAAACAGCTGTATTCAGATTTGGATTTTATTTTTGTGATATTCAACCTGTCTTTCAACAGCACTGTATTTGGTAACAGTAAATGGAACAGGGCACTTCTCCACAGACAGAAAGAAATCGACAATTCACAATTTTGAAGACAGCTTCTTAAACTCATTTCTGACCTGGACACCTGTCATAAACTGGCAATGGTTAAACACAGTTAATAACGGTTAGACACAGACAAGGTGATAGACAAAACTGACTAACTCACCCGTTCGTGGTAATCCACAACAACTTTATGCCATTCCCCATTGCTAACGCCACCAAGGATAGATGCGGTCACTACACTGGTCACCTCGCCCGCCGAGAACAGGAATCGCACCTGCCTGTTGACTATCTCCAGCGCAATGAAATCATGCTTCTGGTTATAGCGGCCGTTGTAGAACAGAAGACCGTTATCCACCTTGGTGGCAAAACTGCCGGAACAAACACAAGCAAAGACGTTTAAAACTTTCCAAACAAAGTACAGGTCATTTGAGAAAACAGAACCAAGCACAGTTTGTTCTATCAGCATGGCCATGCCAACTCACACTCACTAACATGTTTGAACTGGCATGATGCCAGGCTTTGATATAAAATGACCTTGCATCTCACTGAATCTGAACATGCAACCTGTGGTATCCTATAGACCTGTACTCTCTCAACTAGGCCTAAGCTATCTGGCTCTTCTGATGTACACTAAATTAATCCCCTGCATTTCATACAACACTGAAACACTGAGCATGAAAACATAAGCAACTAATACAAAAATCTCATAAATGTGGTGGTAATTTATTTCACAGTTAAATGAATCAAAATGTCAATCCTAAAATTGATAAAATACAGGGAGATCCATCTGAAGACTGGGTAGTGCACATGGAGGTACAAATTCACAACAAAATATTACAACATATAAATAAACGAAGGCCTATTTTGAAAATTTGGCCTTGAAGATTTTTTAATGTCTTTCTCTGCTCTCTCTTGCCCGCAGAAAATTTTAGTTCACAATTGCATTGCTACATTTCTTTTTCCCCATTTTAAAAAGCACAAAAACCTTTCATTTTACCTTAATGACATCTGGAATCGGACCCTCCTATTTAACGACCGGAACATCAGGAAGGCGTTTTCAGGGAAGTTCCTTGTCCGAATCTCGCACAGATCCCCATCATAATCATCTCCTGGACAGACACACTCAAAGCCCCCCAGTAGGAAGTTCCTACACAGGCCGCCGTTCTTACACAGGTTGTCGGTACATCGACCATTCTTGAAGTCGATCTCACAGTTTGGGCCTTCAAGAAGAAGTACAGAAAAGAACAAGGATTAAGGCTTCTTGAGATGATATCAACGCTGGTAATATCCCATGCAGAGAATAGAAAATGTTTTTTTTGCCCAAGATCCAGCATATGAGAGAAGTACATGTATATGTACAACCTTGGCTTATCCTTAGATAAGCTACTGTAACAATACATGTACCTCAATTCAGTAAGTGAAATACTCCCAAGGAACATACAGTATAACATGCCTGGGTTGAAGTGAACACTACAGACACAGGTCACAAGTTCACAACATGTATTTGGGATGAAATTCTTGAGGTGATACTTTAGGTGATTAGTTGCTTAATCTTTATTATTTAATAAAGTAAAATACATGTAGTTGAGGACTTAAGTTAAGGGCCTGGAATGTTCTTCAAAATGCTCTTTGAGTCCTGCACAGTGCTAGTAATCAACAGATGTACCAGAGGCAAACTGCAATTGCAACTCCAAGGAATTATTTCCTTTCTTCTTCAACCATGAATTCAGAATAAATCTTTCATAGCAGGTTTCGCTGCCCACACCTCACAGACTCCATCTCAAGTCAATGATTAATTGATCATTCCTTCCTGCACTCTAATCATTTGTTGCCGATGACGAAAGATGATGCTGCAAAGAAACACCGGCCACAGAAAGCTCCAGTTCATCATTCACCCCAGGATATTTGTTCATGGATATTCCCGTCATATTACTGCCTCTCATTAGACAAGAATATTTTTCTCATATACACACACCAAGCATCCATCAAGAAAAGTCGTAAATGACAGACTTTATTAGAGAGCTCCACAGACATGAATATTTGATTGTAAATGGATGTCAACTTTCTGACTAAACGAGGACCTACCTTCAGAATAATGGTGTTTACAGCAAATCCATCATTCTGAACCGACAGTGGACAATATGCAAATCATTGTGCATTTGGCAACAGTCTTATCTACCTTTTTGGATCTTGCTGTGTATACAGGTTCATTTAGAGAGTCTACAGGAATGTTTAAAGTGGTACTCTGTGGCAAATGTCATCAATCCAAGGCCAAGTCAATTTTAATGATTCACTATTCAAATATTTGACCTTCAGTTCAATCGAATATCTGAAAATTCAGTTTTACTGACTTGCAGATTGTTGATGAACCATAAACAAAATCAGTTGCAATAATGCACACAATTGTACATTATGATCACTATAATAGCTTCTCATATCTAGGAGTATCTCCAGCCATGATTTATCAAGATTTGGAGACGAACAATACTTCTTGTCCTGTTGAAAATGTTTATACCTTTTAATTTTAATGAATAATTTATTTTTAGAATTGAAAGATTTCTATTATTTTTCATTTGAATCTGCTTGAAAGAAGCCTCATTTAAAACAAAAGAAAAATCCCCTTTCCTTTCCTTTCCTTTCCTTTCAAATTCAGAAAATAAGATTTGAATATTTGATAATCAATCAAATATTCGGCACAGCCCTATATCAATTGCATATGGTGTGTCCATGTGTCAAACATCTTTAAATATGTACAAATGTAGAGGTTCTAAGATGACCACATGCACAATTGAAGAAAAGCCCATTATTTGGAAATATCTTACCTCTTCAAAAGGGCTTTAAAAGCAGTGATTACAAATGTTTAGAGTTTGAAGAATATTTGTAAAATCCATTATGCAGTGCAAAGGGAGTCAGATGTGTGTTGTGTTTAATTGAAGGTCAGTTGTACATGTATATTCTAAACCTGTGTTTAGGTACGGTACAATAATAGAGTACCGAAGTCACGCGCACAATTAGTGAGTAAAAGACATTAGCGCGAGAACCAGGGCGTGAACCAACACGCGCGCGTACTCCATTCATTTGCACTGCACTTTCTGGTTCACAGTGACGTCACACTTCGGTACTCACGGTTTCTTTAATAATCAACTGCCAGTTTAAACCAAAACATTCTGACAGATGACAGATGTGCTCTTACACTATACAAAGAACACTTACATTTGGGTCAGTGTTAGATAGTTACTGTTGAATCATATACATAATTTCAATGATTTATATCAATATCCAGGAATATCTACACATACACACCACCCTTGGCCCTTCAAGCCTTGCAATACCTGGGGTTCTAGCATCTCAACAATAATATTTATGGAACATTACCACAATATTTAGATAAATATATCATGTCTTTAGTTTTTATATTTCAGATGACATCAACTGAGAGGGCCAGAGAATGGTAGTGGCTACATAAAGATGGTGTGTAAAGTTGTTCTCATGTAGTCACCTGTATACGTGTAACTCAAGGAGTCAAGCACACGTTCCGCATGTACTTCATTTAAAAGGTAAAACATGGCGTCAGCATTTCTCCATTTCCTAACCCAAGACCTTTCATGTTAAAGGCCATGATAATGAACCCATAATGCCAGTGAGTTGTAGCTCTCAAGACATGCCAGTGAGTTGTAGCTCTCAAGACATGCCAGTGAGTTGTAGCTCTCAAGACATGCCAGTGAGTTGTAGCTCTCAACACATGCTAGTGAGTTGTAGCTCTCAACACATGCTAGTGAGTTGTAGCTCTCAACACACATATAGATCATATGCTTCCATCTTGCAAATATTCATATTTTAAATGATTGACACATTCCCATTTCCGTAAATTACACAGCATTTGGGTTGTTTATCAAAGATGTGGATGGCAATATAGCTGATCATTATGACTAATAACATCTTCACTGCATAGTACAGTAAGTCACAAGCATTAAGTATGCAAGCAGCAGGCATCCGAGCAAGACACAAATGTGAACAAAAGAAAATAGCTACAATATATTTTAATTTTTACTCCCTACAAAACTGGGCTGAAGCGAAATTGTGAGTTTAGTTTCCTACATGTAACTTAGCTTCCGAACCCCAAAATGTTATCAACAAATGCACTGCATTAACTGCATTTTGCCTGAGAAAGATATGCTCCTCCATGGCACATCTTACTGTACCTTGCATCACACATGTTGAGTCTTGCATTCACGTCTTGCAGTTCTGACAAAATGCACTATTAGTATTGGGGCAGTACACATTTAGAAAATGACAAATACTTCAGATATGCTGATAACATCACAGCACAGCGTATAACTACCATGCTGGGGCATCATCAACACCAGTGACGACATATGGGAAGACCCACTGCATGAGTTAATGCAGAGGCCTGGCACATTGGTCATAGTTGGCATTTTATCATGGACTTAATGAGCACACACTTGGTCTATTCAGCAGGCACATGTACACTTGGTGTGATTTCTAGCAAAAATAGGTCATGCATGCATCATGCATGGAGTGGAGTGCCACCAAAGGGACACAGAATGGGTAGAGCGAAATGCCAACAATAAAGACTATCATGGCAGGAGGCCTCCTCCTATATACTGATCACAGCCGAATATGTGGTATTTCATTCGTATCTCAAATGTGACAGTAAAATGTTCCTTTACAAGCAACGTAAATAGTTTTCCCATTTCATGACGCTTATGATTGTGTCAATTAATCAATGTACTTAACAGGAAAGTGAAAGAAAATTACTCTCTTAGCTTTTTTGCTACATACAAGAATCCTGAGTCTTCCAAAATTGACCATTTGGAACTATATGTAACTGCCTCATTCTTTGTTCTTAAGTTTCAAGGAAGATGTGCAGGACACTATTCTTTTAGGGGATAGGACACAACTGGGGAGTTACCAAAGACACTACATGCATAGGCATCAATTTAAGGATTTACTTTAATTGTAAAACTGCACTATTGTGCCCAGAGTGGATGAACAGTACCTTCATAGCACACTGTGATGTACCTGTGTACTCACTACAGACTGTTGCATGCCATTGTCAGTGGCAGCTGTTGCATTTGTCTAAGGTAGCAATTCCAGACCATTAAATGTGTTTGGCATTAGGAGACTGAAAAAAAACACTGCATAGAGTCCCCATAAATCATATTAATGGAACAGCAGCAATAATGTTTATGGGTATCAGAGGACAAGGTGGCTTTATTGAAGTTATAAGCCTTGTTAGCTTGGGACTTACAGGAACTGGGAAAATACTTTTACATGTATTTGCACAGAGGGAAATAAAGAAAATGTGGATAATACAATGGCGTCAATGTAAAATTTGTTGTTCGTGAGAGAGTTAAATACCTTGAAGTTGAACACTGATGTAATACATATACATGGAACATCCATGCATCTGCATGGCTATACATACATGTACATGTATACACGAATGTTCCAACAAATTCAAATTATCAACCCTCGCTCTTATGTGTGTAGTTGTGTGTCTGGCATTATTAAATTTGAGAAACACAGAAAATGACGTGAAAAGCTCAATCACAATGAGCAGAACAGCCCCATTCTCCTGGTAGTATAAAGATTACCACAACTCCATTGTCCACAGACCAAAGCATGCATTTCTCTGTTCATTCTTTGCACGTACCCGTATGTACATGTACTGTGCGTAAATACAGTGCCTTGAAAAAAGTGCAGTGAGGTCAGACTCAAAATATTTACCATTTACCCATGGAGGTTAAAGGCAGGGTGCCATACCTTTGTTTAGCTTTCAGAAATGGAGGACAAGTTACAAGGGATCTTTAGAAACTCAAATGGGTGTTTCATACTGATACTCCAGCGAGTATGAGAAGAATTCTGAATTCAAAAAGTGACCAAATGCAACCAACTTTTTAGTTTTGCAAAAATGTATTCTGAAGTGATTTGGACACATGTACAAGTACATAACAGAAATACAGGCATTGGAGACCAAAGAAACACGATCGGATTAGACCTGCAGCAGAAATCAGGGGACTGGGGCATGATGGGAGGCAGTGATAAGCAAGATAAGTAGGAGGACTGCGGAAGATGTCGTAGCAACTAAGGATGAGTGATGAACTGGATACACAACCTGAGTGCTCGGGAATGTCAAGGTACGGGTGTTGATTTTACGCTATCGTTTTTCCCCCCTGAAATTGCACTCGCTCCAGGC